TGCTTGCGCATGGCCGTCTCCCTCAACAACTTCCGCTCGGGTTTTACAGGATGCAAAGGATAAGAGGTTTGTTCGGCTTTGCCAAGTTTTTCATGTACAAAATGATGCTCCTATTTGCATGCTTTCCCTTAATTAATCAGTATTCTACTGGTGCCTGCTGTTAGGTTCCATTGCAATGCAAGGCCACCACAGGTGTCCACAAAGGGAACATCCCTGTGGGCACAAACACCCTGATTAATCTCAAATCAGGGCTCTTAAGCCGTAACCAACTACAGTCGGCCTTGATGGAGGCGACTATGGATAACAAAAGTGTATCGCAAGGTACCTGCCGACTCTACCCTAAACTCTAAGCCATAAACCCAAAACCCTACAGGCTTTCCATGCAGGCTGAGGTTGCTTTAAGCAAGGAACCCAACAATGTGGTGTGCGGTGAGCCTGACGCTGGCAAGAGGGAGGGTCGAGTTTGTAACACATTTTCTACAAGATACCAACCTAGACCCTCCACCAACCCTCTTCTTGGGCCTCTGTGTCCACAATTAGGGCCCATATATCCCACACCCCTGGGTGTGTCGGGGCTCCACTTCTATGACCTCAGACCTAAACCTTGAGCCCTAAGCCTTAAACCTAAACGCCAAGCCTGCAACCCTAAACCCTAAGCCCCCAGACTTTCAACACTGAGCCCGAAACATCCAACCCAAAACACTAAGCCCCTAAACCTGCAACACTAAGCCTTAAACATTTAACTCCAAACCCTAAGCCTTCAATCCTCAGCCGTAAACCCTCACCGTCAACCCTATACCCTACGCCTTCAACCCTGGGCCTCAACCCTAAGCCCCCAAGCCTTCAACCCCAAACCCTAAACCCTAAACCCTGAACCCTAAACCCTAAACCCTAAACCCTGAACCCTAAAGCCTAACCCCTGAACCCAAAACCCTAAACCCTAAACCCTGAACCCTAAACCCTAAACCCTGAACCCAAAACCCTAAACCCTAAACCCTCACCTGACCAGTGGACCAGCCCGGAGGCTCCAGAAAAGCTTCGGCGACTTGATGCGGAGGATGCTTTTGCTATGGAAGTTGCGTCTGTTCTTCTTTTGCGCGCTACATAACGGATAAGGGTTCAGGGTTAGGTTTGAGGGTTTAGTTTCAGGATGTTTCAGGCTTAGGGTTTGTAGATCAAATCGTGGCTCAGGATTCAGGTCATAGCTTAGGGTATAGTTCAGGGTTAGGGGTGTGAAGTTCAGGGTCAGGGTCCAGAGTTGTACATATTGCTAGCCCTCATTCGTTTGTCTATACGTACATATATTCGAAACAGGTGTACACACGTACAAAAAGGAGGGGGTGGGCTTTTACTTGTGGCTACCCATTGACCCTGAACCCTAAACCCTCAGTTTTTGTTTGATGAATGTCAGGCTGTGGTCCTTTGAAACCGCAAGCAGTTGTGAGATGATCTCTGAGCCTTGCACACCAAACCCGAATCCCTCTACATGAAAGACACTAAACCCTGACTGAAATGTGCCCAAGGAGCCCACCGATATCTGCTGCGAAGCTGTGAACGATATAGCAGAGTGCTGTCTCAAAATTGAGTGGTGCTTGCAGGGGGCTTTCGGGCTTGGGCATTGTGTTTTGAGGTTTTTCAAGGTAACCCAGAGGGTCCATGTTGTCAATATTTGGGTACTCAGGGGTCCAGGTGCGTGCTCAGGCAAAGTTCCCCTAAATTCCTTAAATATTGAGGAATCTGGGTTTTAGGGGGTTTTAGAGGTTCTAGTAGGTCTTACCAAATGTTGACAACATGGATTCTCTCACCCTCAGCCTTGAGCCCTAAACTTATACACCCTAAAATCTACACAGTTAGCCCTAAACCATACATCCGGGTCATATAGGCATTCCTTGTTAGGGGTCTATATAGGGGTTATCTTGGGGGACAGTAGGAGTTTATAGGGGTGGGGGGAAAATAGGAGTTTATAGAGATCAACTCAGCCCAGCTTCCTGGCTCAGAGCACCGCCATGCACCAACAACCCTAAACCCTAAACCCTAAACCCCTAAAGCTATACCCTAAACGGCCCCTTATAATTATAAATTATCAAACCCTAAACCCTAAACCCCCACCGGAAAGCCTGCAGAAATATTGAACCTCCAGGCCCATAACTCAAGTGCAAGCAGAAGTACATGCTATGGCCATGGCACATTTTGGAGCATGCGAGGTGCGCCCTCCAGCTTGGATCTCACTTAAAGGGAAGTGGTATCCCACTTCCAAATTACAGCCTGCCCAGGACCCTAATTGACGATCATAGATTTGCTGTATATAGGCATTTGGGACCCTGGGGCACAAACGTGCACTGTCACAACTAGTTTGTGATATCGCTCGCTGCAAGGTGAAGATACACCTTCGAAAGGGTTGTCCGCTCAACCGTCTTCTTGTGGCACTTCTGGGCTATACCTTATTGGCACCATTCATTTAAGGTTAGTAATTTACTGTCTTTAAACCCCATCAAAAAGAGTCCTACTTGGATCAGATGTCGAGAGACGCACAAGAGCTCCCACATGATCTTCCAGATGGAAATTATGGTATGTGCGTGGGTTGATCTTGTCAACCCCCGCAAAGAAGGCCAACTCCTGGAAGCCCTGAGCACCCCAAGTTCAGTGTGGACAGAATTTATTATTCCTTTAATTACTTAAAAAATCTCGGTCTGTTGAAGCAAGGCACGTGGCATTTCGGTTTGGCGGGCCAAAGACACTTCCCTTCTTGCGCTGCACGATGACCCAATTTGAAGTAGGCATCCAAGCAGGAATCCTAATTTGGGCTTAGCATGGAGAATAAAACTTAATGAGAAGAAATTCTGGGAGATCTCATGCCTGCATACCCTAATAAAGGTTTTCCTGAAATGAAGCCATAGCATCACAACATTTCCCTCAGCTTGCCGGCCTCCATTTCCGTGAGGTACCTTGACGCCTTCTCACTGACATTGTACCATTCGGCAAGGTGCCACCTGGGATGGGGGGGGGGGGGGGNNTTAGGGTTTAGGGTTTGAGGGTTGGATGGGGAAATTAAATAATAGCAGGTTTTTGGAGGTTCAACAGGCCTTCATTTTCAAGGGCTTGCAATCATGGGAGAGACAGCTTAAAACTATGTAGGTAACATATAAAGATAGTTAAGGTTTAGGGTCTAGGGTTTGGTTCAGTTCCATATAACTAGTCTATGCACGTCTCATCAAATTAAATACAATGTTGGAAAACATAATGCTGCTGGGGCTCACACTCTTTGCTATCAGCACTTGGGTGTCGTTGGAGGCCAGGTTCGAATCGAGATTTATCTTGTCCACCCAAATGGCAGCCACCCATGCTACCACCACTCGTCCCTTAATGAGGGATCTCATGCAACCCTGAAGCCGAGGCCCTAAACACTACATGTACACATAATAATATCATCCTATAAATCCTGAACCCTAATTACCCTCAACATAGCCCCAAATCTTGAACCACAATACTCATTAGATCAAGTCAGGCTGCATTGTATGCCTTGCATTGAAATTTCGGGTAAGAAGACTCCTCCGATATTCGAAGATGGGGCTGGCTGTGCCTCAGCAATCTGCCAACAATATAGTAGATAATACAGTACGATTAGAAATTATATGGCAACATGAAATGTAGTAAAGCTACGGAATCTTGTGAGCCTTTGCCCAATCGCAGAATTCGAGAAATCCTGCCTGAAGCTGTTGGGCCTCCCCACTTCCGGGCCAATGATTATTGGCAGCCAGCACCCTCAAGGCCGATCCAACAAGGTACTGTAGCAGGCCCAAATTAAGGGTGTGCATTGCACACCAACGTACATAGGCCATATCGAAGTTTCGCAGACCAAGAAGCGGGCCTCATCAGAGTCTGGTTTTGTGTAGCAGTTCTAGTTGATGACAGGTTGCTAGCTGACAAAAAAATAAACCACAACACATTTGCTTAATTGATTATCAACTTGCTGTCCCATGGTCGGCAAGCATGGTTCTTGAAATTCTCGAAATCACGGCGAGGATGCAAAGTCCCAGGTACACAGGCGTAGGAGTCTCGACGAGCATAGCAGTGATGACAAATGTATGTCGATGCCCATCCCACCCGTAGAGCCAGCCATTCCTGTCGCAAATTAGAATTTTAATCTGATTGTACCATTATAGCAGGGTTATGCTCTACATGGGTTTAGGGTTTAG